TTTGAGTAAGAGGGATTTACTTGTAAAAATCGTAGGATTGCATGAGTTTGGCCACCTACTGTATATGAAATACTGTCACCATTATGCAGCTTTCTGATGGAATCACAGAGCGTGGACACAACCAGGAGACGATGGACGCAGACGACCGATTAAATGCTGGCCCCAATAAGAAGTAAGCTGCGCTATCCAAGAACCCCAGTGCGCTCGGGTGCTACAACGGACTGCTAAAGCATATCAAACATTTTTTTCCGATGTTTAAACTGTATGCCCTGCTGCCTTATTGAGGTCTATCAATATTTTGGGTGTAACTTTTAGACACTCCTTTCTTACCTAGGCTGTCTCTCTTGACGGTAAGAATGCGTTTATTGTCTGTTATAATTTCTCAGGGTCTGTCGAACTGAAGGTCAAACATTTACTACGCTTTAGACGAAGACTTAAACAACGAACTAAATTTAATTGTGAGCCTATTGTGTCACATCGTGTCGCCTGCTCATCGTTCGAATGGCTGCTGACGTCCCATCACAACCTGAAGATCCAGAGGGCCATGGAAGCTGGCTAAGCCAGGTACTCATTTCTTTTCCTTTCATTCATTGGCAAAGCATACCCGATTCGTTTGTCAAGCAAAAGAAAGGGAGCCGGATGTATTATTGATCGGTGACTCAGTTCTTTCCAATTTTCAGCACTCATATGTGGGCTTGTCGTGTGTTTTTATGTTTTCTCTAGAGTTACAAACAATACATAGAACCCTTACATTGTCTGAACTTCTCCATACAGAACGATCAGACACAAAACGTACTGTGGCGTATTCTCAACGGAGAATTAGACGAAATTAAAGTCAAGGTAGGGCGATCCGATCTTGCACAGTTCTCAGGTCATTGTTTTGGCCGTAGGAACCCACAACAAACATTCCGCAAATGAAATATGTGCTGGTATTAAAAAGATCATTCAAGTAATCAAAGAGAAACAACCCACGGCATACATTATAGTCATGGTAAGTCAAAATTACACAACTTTTAACATGTATTTTTTGTGAACCTGTACATGTTAGTGCTTTTATTTCGGCCTTTTAAAACCTAGACATGTTCTTGAAAAACTTTTGACCACGCTTTTGGATAAATTCATTTGTACCATGACTAGAAATATATATATATATGCTGATAGAAGCGAAAATGCGTGTTCCTGGACATAAT